GTGACTGGAGTTCAGACGTGTGCTCTTCCGATCTTTTTAAGTAAAATTTTATCAGTTTTTGAAAGTATGACACATTTAATTTTTTTCAAAAAATTGTCATAAAAACTTTGATTAATTTAATGATTTTTGGGACTAGTCCGATCGTAGAGAAGCTTTTCCTTCTATTTTTTTCCAATTAAAAATTTTTTTTTTAATTTTGTATTTTTTACGCAATAAAATAATATGAAATCTTGATTTTGTCATGATCTACAATTTTTAATTTATTCTTAATGTAATACATAACTTACTTTGGTATTTTTATAATTTTTTTTTTTAGAAATTTAAAATTTTTAGTTTATAATTAATTTTTTATAATTAAAAGACTAATAAATATTTTTCGTTGAGAAAGTATCAAAATTTATTTGCTTGAACGTTTAAACATGTTTGTAGATCATGACAAAATCATAATTTCATATTATTTTATTGCGTAAAAAATGCAAAATTAAAAAACTTTTTTTAATTCGAAAAAAAATAGGAGGAAAAGCTTCCCGACGATCAAACTAGTTTTAAAAATTATTATATTACGATAAAATTATTATATATTAATATTATACAACGTTTAAACATGTTTAAACGTTCAAGAAAATAAATTTTGATACATTTTCGACGAAAAATATTTATTGGTCTTTTAATTATAAAAAATTAATTATAAACTAAAAATTTTAAATTTCTAAAAAAAAATTGTAAAAATATCAAAGTTATTTATTACATTAAGAATAAATAAAAAATTGTAGGTCATGACAAAATCATGATTTCATATTATTCTATTGCGTAAAAAATACAAAATTGAAAAAAAAATAGAAGAAAAAGCTTCCCCGAACAATCAGATTAGTCTTAAAAATCATTAAATTAATCAAAGTTTTTATGAAAATTTTTTGAAAAAAATTAAATGTGTCATACTTTCAAAAACTAATAAAATTTTAGTTAAAACTAAAAAAAAATTGAAAATTTTTGAAAAATTTTTTTGATATTTTTT